ATTTATCCTGAATTCTGGCGAAAATTCCACAGAAATCTTTTTAACGTAAAAAAGGCTATGGAAACGCAAATTCTCGCTTTCGCTGAAATAAGCCAAGGATATCATTCCCTATATTTGCTTCATTGACATACGTTGCGATATAGGATAATAACATCCAGGGCCCCGGATGACTTCTGTTTTTTTAGGTGAAGTTGTGCCCCCTCATAGCCCTCAAAGTGAAGGTTACCAGAGTACGTGGCTCTATGTATCGAGGGTATGGTTGGAGGGTTAAACTACGCGTGACTATGACACAAGCAAACAATCTGATCTTCATATTAGGTGGCCGACTAGATGAAAATATATTCGAAATGCATGATTGAGGCTAAACTTAGGCAAGTCAGCCAAAAATCACAGGTTGTGAACGCCGTCGTTGATGAGAAAGAAATCTCATCAACGACGGCGAGCATAGAAAATCGAGAGTCTGAGCAAAATAGGATACAAAACGAGTACTCCACGCACGGCAAATCTCAACTCATACAGTTCTGAACAAAGCTACGCAGAACAAAGCCATTGGCGATAAATTAAGCCGGCGAAAGCAACTTTGCTGCAGTTTAACGGCAACACAGAAGATCTGCGGAGTACTGGTCTGTCTCTGAAACGCTAGTTCACAAATCTAGAGGAGAGGACGTTTCGGGAAAAAAATGCTGCTTAAGCCTAGTCTTCGCGGGCGAGCGCAACTTGTCATAAAGGGCATAAATCTTATTTCAGAGAACTGCGACTGGATAAATAAAACTTTGCAGGAAAAATATTGCGATCAACCAACTAGTAGATTACAGATAGTGCAAAAACTGCTTAATTGAGGCCTGCGAACAATACTGCAGGCAGATGTTCCTCAGTTTTCGACGAAGTTCGAGTTTTGGTGATCAAATGATTCTGCTGGGTATGTTGTATCGATTACTAGCGACCCCTGTGGTATGAGACCATTATCGCCAAGTTCCCACAAGTCATCGTAAAGTCTGTTTTGAACTCTTGTCAAATGCCAGACAAACAAACAAGTGGTGATTTTCTGGTGCAATTGAAGAGAGAAATTGCCACCAGGAGCTTAGTTGAAAACATATTACTAAGCCACACCATAAAGAACAGGGTCAGTACTTCCAAAGATAAGTACGTTAACCAATGACCTCTTGATGTCTGTGAACGATAACAGATCGAAACACTTGCCGCAAAATACTAAGAGACGAGAATAGATGCGGAAAATGCTATTCTCTAAAATATCGTTGATTCATGACACGCAAAGACTGGGCGCCGTTGCGTCCGACGAAGATAGCTTGTGCTTAGGAGAGGCAGCAGACGGAAGAGAAACGAAAGAGCGCTCAATCATGAAGACGCCGATATGTCCGCAGTCTTTGCGTGCTATGAATCGCCTATACTAGTTATGACTGTAGCAAGTCAGATTGTCCACTCTGTGGTCAAAAACATCACTCCAGTTTGTATTTCAAAAGGGAAACAAATCAACAAAAATCTCAAAATCAGGCAAACTAGAATCATAATCACTGGAATCCGGCCTAAAACAATTCGAGACCGACTTTCCAAATAATTCTGGTCAACGATTCTTGGCAGATAATACCGAAGCCAACAGAATAGCTTACAATAACATCCAGTACAAAAACTTCACAAACTTCAGATTTAAAGACTGGTAGAAACAAACAACTCGACTAATGACAGTCGAAGGTAATACTTAGAATATTCGAAGGAAGCAGTTTGAAAAAGTGCTATTTTTCTTTGACTCTGGTGCACAAAAATTAGTGATTGAGGAAAAATTAGTAGATCACTTCAAAACATACCACGGAAATCTGTACCATGTTGGGTATCGGCGGTCACACCGAGACGTTTAGAAGTCACGTTATCACCTGTAGCACTTCTTCTCACCTGGATTGTTCACTAGCCATTTCTTCAGTGCCGTCGTCTTCAACATGCTGCCACCTCAACAACTCCAGCAACCACTACCGTCCACTACAACTACTACCAGCCTCTTGTCATCGCTACAATGGTTCGCATTCAAGTAATGGCCGCGCAACATCTCGGTCAAGTCGTAACCAACTGCAACAAGCCTATTTTCATCATACTACTAGTAGATGCAGTTGTGAACATCTAGTCATGTATACAATTGTCATTATTCTCTACATGTATGTCCCCTGTCTGGCCGGAGTAGCATCGACCAAGCGATGGTTCCCGATACCTCTGCCATATGACGTCATAGTTAAGGGGGCATGCGATGTGTGTCGTGTCCACTTGGGAGGTCTCGCCTCACTCTTGATTAGACGTTGACCGCGGGTCACAATATCACGCTCTCTTACAATAATCCAATAAACCATTGAACCAATCTTCTTGCTTATTTCACTGTACACCCTATTCCTAGGCGAAAACATCTCGAGTCTACACCCGCTAACAAGAAATAAGTTGATGTATAATAGTTGTGGTCGTAGTTGATGTAGTCTTAATTTTAGAAAGCAAAAATGGGCTGTCTTTTTTTGTGCGCAACAAATCAATTCACACTCAAGGGTGTGAGCAGATTGTCATTCCACCTGACTGCTACAAAAGGAAAAGCATGCTTCGTTTCTGGTATCGCCGTCTTTATGGCGTACGTTGGGCGGAGCATTTGCAGACCAGCTAGTTTGATATAGCTGTATAGTTGTGTAGTAGGCCAAACACAGGGAGATTGTGGTATGCGAAAGGGGAAACAAGCGAAAAAAGCTCCAGAATTACCGTAACACGTGATGTTCGTCTGCTAAAAGACAAATGGAATAACAGAAAGCAAAAATTACAAAAAATAAACTCAAAGCGTTTGACGGGGCCAGCGCCGCGTAGTACAGTCACACACCTGCGCGAGGGCGCTACCGTATGCTGCAGCGTGTAGAGAACCATGCCTCGCAAAACGGCGTAGTCCTTGTTTTAACTCTTCCTGCTTCTTTCTTAGGGTCCCGCCAGAGTGCCGAAGCCATGCCAGCTACGCGCTTTTCCTGTCTGAAACTCTACTTCTGCACTTCCTGAGTTTTCTCAAAGTATCACCATGCGAATGGAAGACGAAATAAAGCTTTGAGGTCTCTCAAAAGAAGATGTAATCTAAATCATTCCAGAGTTTGAGAACGACTGGTGCTCTTCCTTTTTACGGCTAAAGTAATTATCGTAAAGTGTAATCGTACATCATATAGGCTGAAAGAACAGTTTTAGCGAACAGCGCGTTGGCTCTGTTCACCCAAACCTAGATACACGATTATGGTCCATTATGGTCGATTATTAGTCCGTTGAAACACAAGTCGATATAATGAATTATGACATCCAGAAAGAGTAAAAACGCTCAAAGATTTTACCTCCTTCCTTTATTGGGAAATAATCGTATCCGGTATTAAGGCAGATATAGTCTCCTCCCCCCACTAGACACTTAGTGGACGAATTTGAATTCGAACTAGAGCACGCCGGCTGAGGCAGAGCGCGACACCGTCAAATGCATTTCAAGCTAGTGCGGTATTCTTTTGTGTTTTTATCGTCGGCACATTGTGATTTTTTCGTTCTAATGACGGTTGTAATCAGAAGTGAAGAGTTTATTGTTGCTTAACGATGTTTCGTACTACTATGCCCGTTTCTTTACTCTGTTTTCAGGTGAGGAAAAAAGGATGCGCATGGGGAGTTCTTGACCCAAAGTTCAATGAAGCAAGACTAAGTTCAAGACTTACCGAGAAAATTTCACCAGTTTTCAAACTTAGTCGTTTTCCAAAATCAACCTGGAATCGTAGTCAAAGAAACGAGCTTGGTAGCACGATTCATCGCTCGAACAAAAGCAACAAATTCAACACCAACTGAGAAAACTGCTAGCGTTCAAAAATCAGTTAAAACATAGGGGAAACACGGAAAAATTTGTTTAAGATTGAAGTACGAGCTGCAGGTGCCGCGCTCTGCCGCAACCGGCGTGCTCTAGCTCAAATTCGAATTTGTCCACTAGGTGTCTAGTGGGGGGAGGACGACTATAGCATATGAGCTTGGAGGCAAAAAATGACAATTCGCTGCTACAAAAACGGAAAAATTCGAGATCAAAAAAGGCCTGCGATATTGTGCGCAGCATGGTTCCTGCGCGCTGCGCGTACGGCAGCGCTCGCTCGTAGATGTGTTACTGCACTAAGCGACGCTGGCCGCGCTAGACGCATGGATGGGAAATTCGTACGTTTCGGGTAGGAAACTCCATTTCCAAACCGATCCGGACCAAACTTTGCACACTTATGATTACTTCGGGCCGCGAGTGTCGTAGGACTTTCATTATAAAATGCGGTTCATAATTATACGAACACCCCCAATTTTTGATTTCTGGACTTTTTGGAAGAAACTCAAAAAGTCGTTGGTACCACGCGAAAGAACACAGCCGAAAATGGCATATGATCCATAAGAATGAACGGACTCGCCCTACCGTCATGCCTTTCATACAGGACCATCGTCACGCGCGACGCCTCTGCGGCGGCTTTGCCTAAGCAAACACAGGGGGAGAAGATTTTGCCGTGTACCGTACGCCCTACCGTATACCTACCATATGCGCACAGGAAAACGTCTTCATGAGGTAAAACGAGATATCCGTAATCAGCATGTCAAATTACCCCCCTATGCCAAGTTTCAGGCAAATTCACTTTAGACCCTCTACTGTATATCCACCGTAACCCCAGAAAATAACGCTCCCGTACAAAACCAGTACGATATCTGTGATCAGCTGGCCGGATAGGCCCAAGGGCCAAGTTTCAGCAAAATCCATGACGAAAAATTTTTGGGACCCTTATAGCCGGACGCTCAATTTTCGCGCCATGTTTTGCAGTCTGGTCTCTTCATTCTAATTTATCTCGCTGAGCCAGTGGCGGTGCGGACCCGCTACGCCACTTGGAATGGTTCGCTTACTTTGAGTTGAACAAGACTGTAGAGATCTAAGATAAGCGCGCTCTAGTCAAAGTCTTAGACTGTTGGTGTCAGAGCGCAAAAACTCACTCTCCCATTTCTACACGCGATTACGGGCATCCCTCAAATGAAGAGTTTTTTCGTTATCTCGAAATTCTAGGGATGTCTGTGCTGAATAGCTGGTGGTTTCGAGCCGTTGCTGCGGTAGCATTATTCTTTATGTGCCAATTAGGTTATATGATTTCACGTGTCCAGAATTTAGATGAGGAGAAAATCACATTGCTTGCAGAGGTAGTCTTTGTTTTTAACTATTCTCATTATGTGTGTTAAGTCTTCAGATCCAAACATTGGAACGAAAAAGAGATGCATTACTCATGGACATGGGGAATAAAGAACGCGATATTGTGCGGTTGAGCAGGAAGGAACAACAACTAGAAGTTTTGTGAGTAGCTCATTGTTGCATCTGCTCTTCTTTTTCTTTCGTTATCTATTAGATTACGATTCTGTTCGTTGTCCAATCCGCTATTAGTGCCCTAGAAAATTGCCCCAAACCCGTACGCCCAAGCCATTCTTACACGCGCTCGGACGAGCTCGCGATATCCCTCACGCCGTCAGAGGCGGCATGCCGCAATGCTATAAACGAGGGTCCCACAACGACTCTGCGTCTCTAACCATAGCGGGAGGCGTTCCACTCTTCCAAATTCGAAATGAGGGGGCTTGAAAAATGCTGGTTTTCGCTACTTTCGCGCTCTAAAAAGTGGATTTCCGGAATTAGCGCGTCGAATTACCCAGGTATGCGAAAAAACCAAAAGTCGATGATTTGCCGAGCCACTGCCTTTAATCTAACAGCCAATACATCGTTCCTACCATTTGTTGCGCATATTCCCAACATGCTGAGCCATGTGTGCAACAGGTCAGAGACGCAGAGCTGTAGCAGCAGATCTCGATTTTGGGCTTGTTATAATTTTTGGATAAGCACTGTCATTCCCATTCACCTCTATAGTGACCATGTCCGCTCAGTGTTACTGCTAGTTTTAGAATGTACAATTCAACCCTTTTTTGCATATTGAGTATAGCTTCGCAAGTACACATTGAACAAAGGCGGAAGCGTATCGTACCACTCACTCACTGTTGTGACTGCATCAACTGAAAAGTTGAATGAATCTGCTAACGAACGATTCGCTCAGAGATGTTTCATTCGATGACTCTGTTGTTCCTTCTACTTTGTAAAATGTGAAAGTGTGATAGCACTACGGGCGCATAACAGTGGCGTATCCAGGATTTCGGCTCGGGGGGGGGGGGGGGGGCGACAAAAAATTTTTCTAATGAAGGCGCGTGACGTCAGCCACGCACTCCCGAAAATTTTTTGGTATGGTTCCTAAAATTTTCGCGGGCTCATATCCCCAAAATTTTAGAAAGAGGAGGCGTGGCTGGCGCCACGCCCCCGAAAAAAATTTTTTTGTAGGGCTAAATTGATTTCTCAAAAAATTTTTAAAAATGCTTTAATAATTTACAAGTATGGACAAGCCACTTGCACGATTTTATTAACGTGGCTGCCTTTCGATCATTTTAACATATCAGCTTTGAAAAATGCTTTAAATTTGCTGAAGTTAACGCCTTAGAACGGTTGGAAGGCAGCTACATTGATTGTATCTATTGGGACATTTCTGGAGAACAAACTATACCTGTAGGGCTTATCAAAGTGAGTGTCGCTTGCACCAGCATCTACATCTTCCTGGACTCTTCGTCTCTTCTGCGGAACATGCTCCCTAATCACCTCAAATCGATTGAGCCTCCGCCTTTCCCACGCTCGCCTTGGGAAAGTGCTCAAAGAGCATGTCCTGCGGAAAAGACGCAGAGCGCGAAGATGGAGATGCTGGTGCAAACGACACTCAATTTGATACGCCCTATACACGGCTTGTCAATTGCAGAGTTGGGTGCACCAGCATTTCCGCTCCCGCCTGGCTACCTCCCCTTGATTCTGCGTATATTTCGCGAACATGCTTTCTAATCATTTTCGCACGCTTGATTAGCGATTGAAGCTCCGCCTTTCCCGCCCCGTGGTGAGAAAGTGATAAGAGAACATGTCTGCGAAGAACCTTAAGGTGCAGAGTCCAGGCTGCGTTCATATCGATCCCGAAGTTCGGGAACAGTTCCAGCAAGCGCTCGAACTAAGGGAACGGCCATAGGTTGCCGGCAACGGTTCCGATTACTGGGGTTGCCGAGGTTGCCGGGGTCAGAGGCAGCTTAGGCTGCGTTCATACTGATCCCGTAAACCAAAAACAGTCTCACAAGGGAATGGTCAGAAGTCGAAGTGGCCAAACCAAACAAGCTGTATATCATTCGATGCAGTATAAAACGCTGACTTCGAATCTGTCTTCATTATCTGCTTATCGCTCCTGCGGACGAAGCTACAGGCGGTTTTATTGTGAAAAAATCATACATAAAAACAGCGAAATTGAGCACATTGTTGCACTTTTAGCTCAGCTTCTAGCTTTGAAAATTTGAAGTAAGCTAGCTGCATGTTTTGGCCCAGCATTAAGGCAACGTGGCTCTGTACGGCTAAATTTTCAATTTCACGCATAATTTCTTAGCCAAATAATGACCTTTGATGGCTTATAACTTCGTCCAGAAAAGCGATAAGCAGGTAAGGAAGACAGATTTAGAGTCACCGCTTCATCCTGCATCTAATGGTATACAGCTTCTCTGAATTGGCCACTTCGATTTTTGACCATTCCCTTGTCAGCACCGTGCTCGAATTGAGCGTTATGCTGGAACTGTTCTCGGACTTCGGGATCAGTATGAACGCAGCCTTAGAGAGCGCCAAATGTGGAGGCTATCATGAGGTCCTACAACGACCGGCAACCTCAGCAGCCGTTACCGGCAACCTATGGCCGTTCCCTAAGCGCTCTGCTGGAACTGTTCCGAAGCGGATCAGTATGAACGCAACCCTAAGAGAGGCGCTCGGGCGAGAGCGGAGGTGCTGGTGCGTCCGACTCTGCAATTGATAAGCCATATATTTGGGAGGATGTAGATCTTAAGACTTGCTTGATTACGTTCATAGGCTCAGTGGTTGTGCATTTTTTCCGAAAAGTAGGTAAGCGCATGCACAAGAACCACTACATTTGAGAACCATTGACTTATCTCTCAAGTATTCTCCGTTTTTAGAGTTCGAGACCGGCTAAGACTGGTGCCAACGGGCAGAAAAAATGCTCCAACAATCTATTTTGTCACACCTACAAGCTTTCGACCAGCTCAAAAGGCCGACCTTACACGACTTTCATACACTCTTTCACATGTTCCAAATCTGTACTGGATAGTAATCGAGGATGCAGTGACAACTTCAGATAGCGTGGCTAGAATTCTACAAAGGTAACAATTTTAAGGATCCCGAATAGCAGAATTCCACGATCTCAAACAGTAAGCGCAGTATCTAGGAGAGTAAGTTCAGATCAAAACTGCCACATACGCATCTATGCGTCAAAACTCCAACAAACATGAAGATGAAACACTCTGATCCAAGCTGGAAGTTGCCACGAGGAGTTGCACAGCGCAATGCAGCATTGGCTTGGGTCAGGTAAATATGCAACAAATTTTTTGTGATATTCTTATTCGTTACATCTTACCAGACTCTATAATATCAATTTTAGCCCATTTATAATCTATAGCTAATTGAGGACACAATTGTCGAGCGCAAAAACTGGAGTTGTCTATTTTGGTGACGACGACAACACTTATGATCTACGTTTGTTCGACGAGATCCGGTCTATAGATCGAATCGGGATATGGCCTGTGGGCATTGTTGGTGGTCTTGTGGCCGAGAAACCCTTTTTGGCTGAAAACGGTATGCTGTACTTTCTGCTTTTTTTTGCGTTTCTGTTGTGATTATCTTTTGGATGAATCGATTGTTTTCTTTTTTTTTGATGCGGTTACTCATCCTATCGCCACATCGTGTCACTTAGGTTCTGTGATAGGCTTCAATGCAATTTGGAAGCCAGAACGTCCGTTTCCCATAGACATGGCTGCGTTTGCAGTGAATCTTACACTGGTTACTGCAAATTCAGAAGCTTCGTTCTCCTACGAAGTAGCAAGAGGTTATCAGGTATGGCTAATTTAGGTAATGCTTTCGGCCATATCCTGAATTCCAAAAATCTAGGAATCACATTTTTTGACGGGATTGGGTTTCAAAAGGACTGACCTGGAGCCAAAGGCAATGAAATGCACTCGTGTATATGTATGGCATACCAGAACGGAAAAGAGTGTGCTGTCCAAAGCGGATTGGGATAGATTAGTAACGCAGGAGCGAGCGAAGTTTGATGACGTTGAAGCGCATGCGCTGGGGTTATAGCCAAGTTCTACAAGCGTGATGGACTAGGCTGCAAGTTTTTTTTGAATGGAATTCTTGTCATAATTCGTGGTGCCTAATTAATTACACTTCTTATTGGAGGTACTAGATCATTACTGGTGCTGTTTTGCAATATTGTTACTTATTTGCTTATTTTAGACTTTTTACTTATCGATTTACTGTGCAACGCATTCGCATGGTTACCGTTATGATCACGATTCTTTATATTGGCGCGTTGTATCTCATTTTTATCACTCACTCTGAATAATGAAATTGGAGGAGCATGTGATATGTGAAATTGTTGCTCATGTTCACAACCGACGAACATCTTCAGCACGCAACTGGATATCAGACTCAAAGTTGTATCATAGCTCATCTTTTTATGCTTTACATAAACCGCATGTGCTGCCCTTATCTTGCATCTTGCCATATTCATCTCATTTTTTGTCATCAGTTTCTCAGAAGTGTATACAGTCGTTAATCTCAGTCTTTAACTAGATAAGACGGGTGAATTTGTTGGTCAAATGCGACATAAATAGAGATTCATCGTAATTATATGATGTGAGCAAATATTCATTCCCGAATTTCCTCGCATATGTGAATTTAATCCTATGGTTTATGCCAATATATCCTCGGCGTTAAACTCAACCCGTAATATTTTTTCTTCACAGAGTTAGCATGGGAGAGAAAAAGAGCCAGTCATCATCGGCGGTTCGACTACAAATAGCAATAAGCTTAAATCGCTATCATGGAGTTCGGCTTCACATGAGCGAGCACAGAAGATCTCGCAAGGATTCGATCAGGTGCTAATTATCTGTGCTTTAATCATGATGTGAAAGCTATAAAAAGTCATAGACAGAATGCAAACGATAGAAAAGCGATACGAGCGCCGAAATTGATCTGGTGGATACTGCCGGATGCTGCTGATAGTGCTTTCAATAAACTAAGTTGCTGCCGTGTTCAAACCGTGTAAGACCGTGTAACAAAAAGATGTACTTGCAGTTGTTATGACGGACCGGCTGATTACGATTTCTCCGGATTGGTGAGTGAATAGTGTTGTGTTTGTACATAAAGAACATTTTGGATAGCACGGAAATCTCCACAACGATAACTCTAACAACATAACATAAACGTGAGCATTGTTGGAGGTCTCGTGGTTGAGAAACCCTTTTGGGCTGAAAGGGTATGTTGTGCTCACTGCTTTGTTCATTTCTGCAGTCTAACGTCTTACCCACTTTGTTCTTTTTCTTTAATTCTATTTAATTTAATTCTTTTTCTGTGTGGAGGTTTGGCCACCTAGGTCCTGTGATAGGATTCAATGCAAATTGGAAGCAATTTATTTCCCGTAGACATTGCTGTCGAAAATCTTACATTGGTTACGGCGAATCCAAAAGCTTCGTTCTCTTACAAAGTGGCAGGACTTTATCAGGTATGTGGTTATTTGGGTACTCTTACTAAGAATCACATTTCTTAACGGGATTGGGATTCAAGAGGACTGATCTTAAGCCAAAGGCAATGAAACACATGTGTGTAGTATGTATGGCATACCAGGACGGAACAAAGTGTCAAAAGCAGATTGGAATGGATTGTCAACCTAGAATCGATGGAAGTTTATGACGTTGAAGCGCATGCGAGGATTGTAGTGATGTTATATTATACAAGCTTGATGGCTTGACTATACGCGCGCAAGTTTATATAATTGGAACCGGGTTTCCATCAGTTCTGTGGTGCTAATTACATTACACTTCTTTTGGAATGTGTTAAGCCATCGCTCGTATTGTTTTGCAATAGGATCACTTGATTTTTATACATTTATGTGTTGATTTCGTGTAATGCATCTGTTAAAACCGTTATAGTTAAGATTCTTTTTGCTGATTCTAGTCTATTCTTATATATATATATATGTATATATATGTATATATATATATATCTTCAAAAAAAAAATGAATCCAGAAGTCAGTGAACTTTTTGTTCTCGTTTACAATTGTCAGGAACTCATCGTAATTCCTAGCGTAAGGAGACGTTGTCAGGATCCTGAAGCGCTCAGCCCCTATATGGCTTACATAATCGCATAGGCTGTCTCTCCACATTTATTGCTGTGATCGCATTTTTAGCCTCTAGTTTCTGAGACGTATGTTGTGTAACAATGTTGTTAACAGATGCCATCTTCATAGATGTATGACTTGAATAAATATTCCATTCCTCCAAGTATCTTCGAAGTTGCTTTGATAGTTTATGCTAACATATCGCTGGCGCTAACTTCAATTCGTTTGTAATATTGTAATTTCTTCATCACAGAGCTAGCCATGGGAGAGAGAAAGGGTCAGAATTTCTATTATCCACCGGATTTCGACTACAAAAAGCACAAAAGCTTAAATCGCTATCATGGAGTTCATGCTTTACGTGAGCGAGCACATAAGATTTCGCAAGGGATTCTTGTCATCAGGTACTTACTATTCTTGCTTTTGCACTATTCAGTATATCTCAACTATCAGATTCGAAATGCCATTCAACATTTGGTGCCTTGGCTGCAATAATCACGTTGGAATGGGTGTACGTTATAACGCTGAAAAGAAGAAGATTGGCATGTATTATACTACTCCTCTTTACGAATTTCGTATGAAGTGTCATCTTTGCGACAACTACTTTGTCATAAGAACAGACCCCAAGGTAAGGAACAAAGGTATTCGGTAAAAAGTTGTAAAAACTAACAGTGAGTACAGAATTTTGACTACGAACTGGTAGAAGGATGTACACGACAAGAGAAACGATTCGAGCCGTCTGAAATTGATCAAGTGGATACTGCCGACAGTGCCGTCAGTCATAAATTAGCCGCAGATGCCATGTTCAAAGCCGAACACCAAGAAGATGTACTTTATCCGTAACAAACGTAAATAGAAACTTATGATATTTTTAAGGACAAAAGTAAAGCTACAAATGATGAAGTTCGAATGGAGAAGATTGAATGGGTCCAGGAAAGGCTCCGTGACGATTTTGCTGCAAATCAAGCGCTTCGTGCACAGTTCAGGGTACGAATACTCTCACCTCTGAACTTGACTTATAGACCTTTGGATTATTTCCAATTCACTGTTTTTTGAAGAAAGAGAAAAAGGAACTGACTGAAAAAAGAGCTCGAGATGATGATCTTCGTGCGCGATGCTCCTTGAGCATACCCCTCGCTCCGGAGGATCCGAACGATAAAAAGGTAGCCGGCATGCTGACCCGGTATCGAACGGTTAAAAGTAAGGCGGTTGTAGTTGTGTGCTTATGTTAGGATTAAGAACCAATTCAACTTTTGCACTCTTCAGCTTATGACGAGCGTATGGAAGAGAAACGGAACGAAATAACTGCAAAGCGGATATTTCAGTCTATATCCAGTGGACCATCGACGTCATCTGCTAAATCGGACACTCCTTCATCTATAGAAAGGCTAAAAACTAGCATAAGACGTGATCGTAATCGGAAAATCAATAACAGTGTAAGTACAAGAGATGCTTTATCACTCACGATGATAATCTAACAATGTGCTTTCCAGTTTGAAGCCGGACCTGCTCCCAAAAAATCATCGCTTTCACTCGGCATTGTGCGAAAGAACATAAAATGTGAGGTGGATGAGCATGGAGAGGAGATACATGCGGAGGAAGTTGTTAGCGCGGAGGTTAAGGATGAGAAGGAGGTGAACGGCACAGCTGCTGCGTCTGGACTAGTGGCTGATTACGATTCGTCAGGATCGGATTGAGTAGATGTTTTATTGTAAATATGTACATAAAAATAACAATGGATTGTATAACAAGCAAAACTCAGCAACAATACAACAATAACAAAACAAAGTTTTTAGATTCTAGAAGCTCGTAAATTGAGTGCCTTCGTTACATGAATCTTATCACATTGGTGGGCCTAGCTGGAATTGTGCATCTGACAAGCAGACATAAGTAAGCGAGCATGCCCTTGTGAAAAAAAAAATCCATCTAGCTATCAGAACTTGGGATCAAATACGCTCATCGTTTCCTCCTACGAATGGAAGTGGATCCCAGCTTTGTTGAAAGCAAGAAGAAGAGCTAAAAACTGTTCAATACTCATCTTCCGTGCTCTCTTGTCAGCAAAACCGGCTTCCGTTAACGTGCTTTCTATCATTTTCTTCATATCGAGATCTTTTGGAACTGGCTGAAATCAAGAATTATTAGCAAGATAAGTGTGAAGAGAGCAAGGCTCAATATACCCTGTTCAGCAAACTGCACAGTTTTTGATAATTCTTCTCAATCAATTCAGCGACGTTGTTTTGCTTGAAGATGGAAAGCAACGTCTTGTTCTTTCTCAAGAAACACAATCGTAACATCCCTTCCCATTCCTGAAAATATCTCAAGCAGTTATTTGTGGAAGTTCTGACATCTGCTTACATCGAAATTGATCGGTGGGGGAGGATTCTTTGGAGCAATCCGTACGACAGCAGAATCAACTTTTGGTGGAGGTCGAAATTCAGTCCTTTTAATTTTCATGAGATGTTCAACCTAAATATGGGGTACTACAATATTCGGAATCGTCTTATCTTCAGTCCGAAAGACAAGCTCAGTCGAGTAGATTTTCCGCTTAATATAGTGTGCTCACATGAAGGTGAAATGCGGTAAAATTTTCGCGTAAAGAAATAGCTACGCCTGTGACGCCGGCCATTTGCGCGCGCAAAATGTTGGCATTACTAACATGGCTACTTGTTCACGCGCAAATTTTACCGCATTTCACCTTCAGCGCAAGCACACTATACTACGGAAAATCTACTCGACTGTATGTAGAAAAGAAACGCCAATTTTTAGAAAGAATGAAAGATTGTAGTTTTCACAGATTAAGACTGCGTTCATAATGGTCCGGAAGTCGGGAACAGTTCCAGCACAGCGCTCCGACGAACTGCCAGATCAGTATGAACACAACCTAATAATATCACAGAAGTAGAAAAAGTTATTTTTATAGATAGCAATAGGTTAGGGAATGCGAATGTGAACCTTGGCGAGAAGCTGTACGTTGACGGATAGTCGGCAGTAGTCTTTGTCGCCAGGCTTTGCCACCAATCGGTCAGCAAACTCTTTTTGAAACATTAGTACAGCATATCTAAAGTGATTGAAATTAGATGTATAAGTGAACCAGAAGTCTTGAACTTTGTTAGCGTCGTGAGGATACCCTCACTCTTGTGGGTTAAGGCAGCGTCAGACAGATCTGGACCTATGGAGCTTTTACGTGGAAAGTACTTTTGGGACCCTAACTAAGGCACTGCCCAAGCGGCAGGTCAGGTAGTGCTCTAACCGCTGAGATATTCCCCTCGAAACTGGCCCCCGCGAACGTATTCGCATCGATTCATGGCAGTTTCGCGCCAGGATCCACGCTTTGCGCCATGAATCCATGCGAGACACGGTCGCGGGGTCCAGTTTCGAGGGGAATATCTCAGCCATTACAGCACTACCTAAGCTGCCGCTTGGGCAGTGCCTTAGTTAGGGCCCCAAAAGTACTTTCCACGTAAAAGCCCCTTAGGTACAGATCTGCCTGGACGCTGCCTTTAACATAATAGCTTATATACAACAAAGATAGGAAAACTACCTGGGAAGCGGTCTTTGCAGCAGCAGTTTGAAAACGAACGGAGACGAGATTTGATATGGTAGATTAGCTACGCAAACATCAAAAAATGGCCATTCATTCTTCATGACATCTCCCGCACGAACCTCCAGTTTATTTTGCACTGGACTAGAATAAAAACATTTCTTTTAAGTAGTCTGAGAGAAAAGTAAAACCAACGTTGCCATGACACGCTTCTTCAATTCGGCGATCATCCGTGGGTCAATCTCACAGGCGATAACTCTCTTAGTACATTCGAGCATTTTTACTGTGAGATTACCAGTGCCGGGGCCTACTTCAAGTACAGTGTCGGTAGATTTTAGCGCGGACTGCGGAAGAAAAGTTCATGAATATCTCAACAAAAGAACATTATACCTTTTCAATGATGGAGTTAACAATTCCGGGATTTTTCAAAATATGCTGCCCTTTGTCGGTATTGAAGGGTAATGCTGCACGAATGTTTCTTTAAATGACAGGACACCCAAAAATAAAACCCACCTTGAGTATTGAACGCCGACGTTGGCTTTTTCGTTTTCTTTGCTTTTACCATAACTGGAATTCATGCGATGTGTAAGGAAACTTCGACGTAGAAGTGGAGGCGATAGTATGCAGAAACTAATCAATTTTGTCTTAGGCTCCCGCCAGAGTGCCGAAGTTATGCCAGCGCTACGCCAGCATTTCGATCGATACACGTGTATTTCGTTGGGGACGTCAGCTAGCCCCGCCCCAACGAAATACACTTGTATCGATCGAAATGCTGGCGTAGCGCTGGCATAACTTCGGCACTCTGGCGGGAGCCTTACTGTATGGACAAGGCTCGTATGTACGTGAGATGTAACTCAATTATATATTGCACGGCAGAAACTGTCAGAATTTTCATTGAGCTTGAAAAGTGGGATTTGTGCGTCTTACTGTCACTTGAGAGAGATTTCATGCTGCATCATCGTAAAATGTTGTTACTTCTCATACTGTGATTGAGTGTGAAGTTCAAATTCTTCGGTTGTGCAGTTACAGCGATTTTTGAAAAACCCTAATGTTTACTATAGCTTTCTTTCAGTGATGAATGGCGACTTATAACTTATCCTTTTCCTGTTTTGGTTTCCGCATATAAAAGTTGGGGCCGTCATGAAGTTGATGCAAATATTCTTCAGATTAGTGCGAGACTTTACAACTCCCATCCATGGACAACATTCATTTACGTATGAATATGGCCGAGATGGCTTTCCAGCATGATGAGATCGTCGACGAAATGGAGTTTGCTATCAGAAGATTCTCAGAATGGTTTGTTTATGAAACTACTTTTGACAAAATTTTGAAGCTAAATTACAGCTGCGAACAGTTGGTTCCTCATGTGATTTTCCTGATGAACTCTCCCATAGAGTCGATCCGTAATTCAGCTTTCGGGTTTGCCGTTGAAATTATCAGTCAGAAACCTCAGGTAAATATTGCTTCAGCTATTTTGATAATAGCGTCTAAGTTCAATTCGAGATTTTATTTTGCAACCGTTGGGGTGAAGCAATGAAATTAGTGAGATAAAAGCTAGGTAGTCCCATACGAATGCCGCTGCCCGTGCAAGCGAGGCGTGCGCGAAATTGGGACTGATACATGCTAGCTATCGTGTTCTTGTCCAAAGTTCTTAGAAGTTCTCAGTTCTCCCCCTAATTTAGTTTTTTAGACTCGCACACAGCTTAAAGAGGCATACATAAACAAGATTCGAAGTACTGATTTGGATGTCGCTCGACAAGCAATCACTTTCCTACCCGATTTTGTCAAGAACTGTGTCGGTAAGTAAAAATCTTATCTGCACTCATTAAGTATCGCATGGTTTTCTTGCTAAATTTAACATTTTCTAGCCAATGGCGATGAGCTCATCGAGGCGGCATTGCATGCGTGCATGCGGCGGAGTGCTCTAAATGATGTCAACGATTACGTTGTCGAGGCGATGGGCATCATGGGACAGCGGACTGAAGAAGATCAAAATCCCGAAGTGAAGAAAGACTTGAAAAAGGGTATCCATGAAGATGGGGAAATTAGCTAGAGCCCTTAAGTTTCTTTTGTGGGTTTTTTGGGTCTTCAGTTTGTCCCTATCTGTCGATTGTCGCCACTCATTCTGCATCAAGGTCATGCACGAATCTTGCCAGGAAGGAATGGATAACCGTCGAAATGAATTCGGCCTACGCACTATTCTCTGGAATATGCAATGGATAGCCGTCCACGAGAAGATATCTGCTGTTTCCATAAATTTCCTATCGTTGTCGCTGTTGATTTCTGAATTCTTTTTATGTTTTATAGCATTTTATTGTGCTCGGTTTCGGGGTTGAGTATGCCTTCTGCATCTTACCAGCAACAGATCTCCTTTCGTAGAAAACTTGCGATTCCCCAAGTAAGATCGTCGCTTTTCTGCGCAACATAACTCGTCATTGGTATTATATAAAGCTACATATTGTACCAGCGTCTGATAGTACAGTCCAATTAGGCATCCGCCATACTTGATCTGCTTGATCCACTTGATCCGCTTGATCCGCTTTGTGCAAAACACGCGTCATTAATTTGTCATTTGGCGTTGTGTACAGCGAAATCACTTGGACCGGCCATATTACTCCTGCGATTCCTGCAATTCCTGTGATTCTTGTCCTGTGGGTTCCGTAACAATGCATATTGCGAAAAAGCAATGTATACCGAAATACGCAAATCCGTAGTGCGACACATCGGAAGTCGAGAAATCACAAGATTTGCAGGAATTACAGGAATCGCAGGAATCACCTCCTGGAATAGTATGGCCGGTCCCTTAACCATACGAAATTCCTTTTTACCTGCGCGGCGCCAAATGACAAACTGTTGTATGCACACTTTTCCACGAAGCGGACCAAGCTGATCAAGAGGATCAAGTATGGCGGGGCCTAAGGGAACGGCCATAGGTTGTCGGTGTTGTCGAAGTTGTCGGGGTCAGAGACAATTTAGAGAGCGCGCGAAACGTGGAGGCTATCATGAGGTCCTAACGACCGGCAACCTCGGCAAACCCGACAACCCCGACAACACCGACAAAACACCGACAACACCGACAACCTATGGCCGTTCCCTAAGTGAACTGAAACCACAGTTCCGTTTCGTTCCGTTCTCGATCGTGCATTGACCTGACAGTCAAGCATTTTTTGAGGAGGCCTTTTCGGTCTTATGAAACATCTCGTTTAATGTTCCAGCTGTTGTTGTTATTGTTAGCAGTAACGTAGGAGGAACTCCGATCATGAGATTGCCGATAAAAGCTATGGATACATAGCGGATTTTTGGAAACCTCAGGGGTACCAGTATTTCTTGAAGAATATCTTTGAGCCAGTTTTACCTTATCTCAGTGCGAGATGGAAATGAAAAATGCGATTGGGTCAAGCGGAGATAGCTATCAGTGTAAGATGCTTTAGGAACTGAAATGTTCGATTAGCCTTCGATAGCAAATTTTGATTCAATGCTATAGACGATGGTGCATATTCCTTCGTACTTCGCTTTTTTTGTTTCGTGACTGGCAGTACTAACTGCGGCAGTACGCAAAGATTTTTGCGATCTGAAAGTTATCGTCGATTCGTTGACTGTACGGACTGGACATAACCGCGGAGCACGCGCCGCGAGGTAAAACGCTTGCTTCAGTACAAACTCGCCATTGTTGAAATCGTGCTCTCGCAACATTTCAATCGCGCCGCGCGTGGTCCGCAGCGGTTGAGCAGTCCGTACGGCCAACGAATCGACGATAGCTAGATATCATGAGAATACAAATAAAATCTAATACGATCATGTCAGCGTCGCAGGTGGATGTTTCTGATTCTGTATCCTCTCTAACAGCGGAAAGATCTACTAAATCTGAAAGCGGACTCATATAGAGATCTGAAAAAAAGGTGAAGTCAACTTTTTTGAACAGAAAAAGAACTATCACATGCGCGTAGTTCCCAAAACAAACAAAATGCGAAAGAGTGCAGGAAAGAGATGCAAAAACTTGTTTGACCAGTGCTTTAGGAGGGGTAAAATTTAGAGGTTTGGTTGGCTTCTGCTACTGGCGTAAACCAGTGCTAAACGAGTTCTTGGAAATTAGCAAACAAAGCGCTTTGTTGGAGCTTTAAGCTCATGCAGATTTCAATACTTTTTGTTGAAAGTTTGAAAAATAAGCACCTAATTGCTTCGATGGTCATTTGACCTGCAACATATCTGCATTTTGAAAAATACGACCTTGAAGTGAACGCGACTCTAGTTCATTTTTTTTGGAAGTTTGCGACACCTCTGAACTTATGGAACATCCGTTTGTTTGCCTCCTATTCCCAAATTTTTGGAAATTTTCGGTTTATAAGCTCTTGAAATCCGAAAAGCTATCCTAAATCTTGGGATAACGCGGTTAACGCCAAGCCCCGCAGAGGTAGTACCTTGTCGTCCCCCTCTCACTTTCCCACCAATGAAATTTCGCTGCGAGACTGCCCTCTTATATGTAGTCACAGTTAGATAGGTACGGGCAATGCAGGAGTTATAAACCAGCGAATTTTTACGAATTCACTTGTATTCAGTTTGCTTTTATTGGATGGAAAAAGACGATAATCCAAGCTCCATTCAAGACGTCACTGAGATTTCAAGAGGTCGTGTGTTACTTGAGTGACGTATGACCCCAGAGATTTACCCGATGAGCAGCACTCAAATTCCTTTTTCTCGAACAGAACTATACGACTTCCCGCAAAATGCACAATCCTCACAAGTAATTCCCATGAACTGGTAGCGCGTCTAGCTAAACGGCATAAACTTCATTCTAGTGGTGTTCTAGTCGATTCTGAATGAACAAACTGAATCATCCATTTGATGCTGATGTCAGTACGAGGTAACCAGTGCAACACCTTCTGTTTAGCCCCCGTTATCCTCCAGAGCGTGGCGTATTGATCGTTATGGGAGCGTCCAGCGCCGATCTTCTGCACTGAGCTGCGGCACATTCTTCTTGTTCTCGTTGACTAGGTTCGTACTCTTATTGCGTTCACCTTATCTTCGCTTTGGAAACTGACTGAAATACTGTTAGTGAATCCAGAAAGTGAGACAAGATTTTACAACTCTTGTTGTCTTGCTCAACCATTTAAACTTATTCATTCTGGCAGAATCTAAGCACGCTCCCACTTGTTTTTCCTGGTTCCAAGTTTCCAAGTAGTATTTGCATTTTCTGTTGCCAATTTCACCTCCAAATGACTCTTTTACCCTTTACCTCAAAGATAGAGTCCTATCGAGTCTGAAAACGTACGGGTCTTCACATAGTTTTTTAGAGGGCCTTTGAGTAGGCTACTGCTTCAGGTCCCACTCGATTAGGTCCCTTCTACTCGCGAAAATTGCACGCTGCCCCGCACAGCGCGATTTGGCCCGCACTGCCTTACTCGCCGCTTTTATCTTAACGCATTTTAACAAGTCTCTTCAGTTGATGTCCACTTCCATAGCGTTTCTGGCGAGCTGTCACTGAGGCAGAGGCATGAGTGAGAAAACACAACTCGTCCGCGTTGCTGCGGGGTCCTCGAGAAACGGAGTTTCCGGCCGTTTCACTCGATTTTGCACCCGCATAGGGATAGGCAGGGCCGAAAGGGCTTTTAATTTGCAAAGATCACAACAATCAACTTTTGAAGAAACACTGCCTTTGAGAGCCAGATATACAGCATGCGAATTCACCGCTTCGCGACTCTCTCAACAAGACAACTGTTACTAGTCCATTGCATGCTGACCATCTTGTATCTCGGTTGTGATAATCCTTGGCGATTAATCCACTTGGAAAATCAAAGCCGCTGTGGAAGATAAACATTATGCAATGGACCCGTAAAACTTGTCTTTTCGTGAGAATTGCGGGCCGATGAAGTCGTGTGAATGTATGGCCGGTCCTTTGAACATGTTGAATCAAAAATAGATGTTTTGCATGTACCCTAGGAACTCGCCTTCCTGTCTTCCATGTGTCCGAGAAATCTGAAAGCACACGTGGCACCTGTGGGAAGAATGTTGAGATAAGATCATACAGACTGTCTCAGAGGTCGTGTCCCATTTGGAGGACAGTATGCGAGGCCGTCGGCTGCGAATACATAGTCGCGAGCAGTAGAACACTGCAATTGAGACAATATGCGGTCTAGAAAAATGTAAGCTTTGTAGTATGCTTGCAGTGCAGAGATCGGGCGACCATATCTGCGTGTATACAAATATAGGCAGATAGCCAGTATCGGCCTAGTGATATCGCGCCTGGCAACTATATAGCGAGGGTGCGCTCTGGACTCATGCGAGCTCTGCTACACGGCACTAATGCGACAGTGCGTCTCGCAAGGCATACTAGCGCATGACCGATGCTGGTTGACAGCCTATAGCTAAGCCTTAATCCCGGCCACTTGTGCGGGCATGGCGGGTAGGAGAGCGAACTCCGCTAGTTCTGGGCCCCCTCCGCAGATGAATGGTCCTTTTACAATGCTGTTGCATGTCTTTCAGGACCAGTAGTCCGCCGAGGAGGCTTGAATTGGCGAAATTCGTTCCTCTACCCGCAGAATGCCTACATCACTGGTTCGGCTCCTTGTTCACGCGCATTAGGCTCCCAAGCTCGGTACCGCGAGCAAATCATATCGAGCGGAATATTCATATCCATCAGACTGCATGTAGGTCTATCGTTTCGTCAACCGCACGGACTGGCCGTAGATTGCGGAGCACGCCCGGCGCGTCTGAGGCACGCGCCATACTTGATCCGCTTAATCCACTTGATCCGCTTGGTCCGCTTCGCTACTGGTCAGTTTACTGAATTGACCAATGGCGAAGCGGATCAAGCGGATCAAGTGGATTAAGCGGATCAAGTATGGCGGGTGCCTGAGATGTCACTAGAGGCGACTGTGCTACAGTGTACTGGTGCAAGGAGGAAGAACTATGGGTGTCGATAAGCTCGACTTCGCGCGGACAGCTGCTACGACGTGATCTGTGATGTGCGTGGCTGCGTGTTCTGCTATAGATGTCCGCGTGGATCACCCGCGACATATAGTTCCACGGTGCAAGGACTTGGGAAGCGCGGCGCGTCTACGACCTGTATCATCGTAACTTCACTAACATTAAAGGCACTGTCCACCCAAAATTTCGACCTCCATGTTTTTGCCGTTCCGGGGCCCTTCTCATCCCTGATTCCGAATATCAAGTCGGAAATTCGCGAAAACCAAGAAAAACCTCCGTGTATAGAACCCCAGAGCGATTTCTTCGGAACGGTGATTGGTTGGACGCGCACGGATGGGCGGAACGAACGTCACGCCCACTCAAAGGGGAGGAGCCAACGTGGCGAATCTGTCATCCGAGCGATTTTCGCAGCAATTTTCGGCTTCCGAAGCAACTTTTGCTAGCGCGAGCTGGATAAGTATGCAGTGGGAGCCCCATTACTGTTAGGCATCAAAATCTCATCGACTCCATTTTAGGTGGACGGCGCCTTTAGGGCGTTATTTTAGCAGAAGCATGATATTCATGATTAACATGCTCAAGACCATCCAGACGAAGTTTGGAGCAAATTTGGAACTTTGAACCCTACCGTACCCACCGATACCCAACAAATGGCGCTATCCGGCAAAGTCTATATAATGTTCAAGTTTAGGGCGCCAAATAACTCTCTTAGATGAAATTTAGAGCAGTCAGTGTTCTAATAACCCCATAACGTAATAGTCGAACCATCTCGGTCATGTGTGCACTGCACACAACGTGCATCTTGCGCGTCTTCAATGGACTTGCAATCGCAAAAACGCAGAAGACTAATCGGTTGTTAAGGCTTACATCTCTTTGAAGTGTTAGTACCCAAAAAGGAAAGAGAACATTGAAAACACATTGAAACACTTATATGAAGGGTTTTCTGCTCCATGAGTTCAGTATGGAAACGCCAAAGGTGGACAGTGCTTGCAGCGACATACATATCATCGGCTCCACGATTCGTGTAGAGGCGGGGTTTTGCCAACTCAAAGCGTGGCGGTTTTTGATAGCGAGAGAGTACAAAAAACAGTGGTATGACGTGGAGGTTTAACAAGTTTACCTGTGTTATCAGGCAAAGTCTGCAATACACCTCTACACGAATCGTGGAGACCAGAGGTGCGATAGGGGGAGCCGGGTCCCCCAAAAGTGAAGGTGGTTTCAGCTACCACTGGCCGGCCAAAAGTGAAGGTGGTAGTGTCGGACACTCACCTCCCAAAAACGTCGACGGGGGGGGGGGGGGGGTGCGGGGGGAGGATAGAACGGACGAACGGAGCTATCTTTCTAGGTCTAACGTCGACCCAACGGCCCTCTTTAGGGCCACAGATACGATGAATATTAAAAATATCTATAAATTTTATTTACAAAAATTTAAAATAGACGTGTTTAGTAAATGGTGTATTTGGAAGTAGAAGTTTGTTGGACTGTACGGATTTTATTAAGCAAATTTTGTTATAACGTACAGCGAAGAAAGTAGATCGATCCAGGCAGTAACGGCCGAGAATCAGAATTTCGAATAAATAAATAGTGAAAAATCATGCAAAATTTCCACTGTTATAAATCTGTTGTTTGAAGATGTCAGCAGTTGCGACTTCATAGGTTTTAAAGAGTAAATGTTGCTCTATCAGCTAGTGAAGGAATCTGGTCGATTTAAGAGATAGTCGTTGAAAACCAGAGTTCTAAAACTTTACGCCATTTTTGCGTGTTTTTTGACTGTTGAGAGTTAAACTCTTATAAATCTTGAATGTGGAAGTGTATGATGTTGCGACTTCATAGGTTTTATAGAGTATGGTTTGCCTTATCAGAATATGTCTTGTACGTTCCGATCCATTGAAACACCTCCGAGATCCAGAGTCATGAAAAAGCAGGTAAAAAAGAGCTTTTTGAACTTCAACAGCTCATAACTTCTTCAGGATTGCACGAATCATGTTGCGACTTCATAGGTTAGATTCTTCTCGTCAAGAGCTTTCAGATGATATATAATATGTGGGGGTTTCGCGCCTCTTACGGCATATGCCCGGGGGGGGAGACTTTTTAGGCCAAAGTCTCCCCCGGCAGCCTCCAGCCAATACATTAAAATGGGCGAGGGGGAGACTTTGGCCTAAAAAGTCTCCCCCCCCGGTCATAATTCGCAGGAGGCTCTAAACCCCCACATATTATATATCATCTGAAAGCCCTTGATGAGAGGAATCTAACCTATGAAGTCGCAACATGATTCATGCAGTTCTGAAGAAGTTATGAGCTGTTGAAGTTCAAAAAGCTCTTTTTTACCTGCTTTTTCATGACTCTGGATCTCGGAGGTGTTTCAATGGATCGGAACGGACAAGACATATTCTGATAAGGCAAACCTTACTCTATAAAACCTATGAAGTCGCAACATCGTTTAACTCTCAACAGTCAAAAAACACGCAAAAATGGCGTAAAGTTTTAGAACTCTGGTTTTCAACGACTATCTCTTAAATCGACCCGATTCCTTCACTAGCTGATAGAGCAACATCTACTCTTCAAAACCTATGAAGTCGCAACTGCTGACATCTTCAAACAACAGATTTATAACAGTGGAAATTTCGCATGATTTTTCACTATTTAAATATTCAAAACCAGACTAAAGTGCCGCTTCGCGGCACTTTAGTCTGGCCGTATGTGGAGCAGGATGTGCGCAAAAGTTTGGCACAGTATCTCTTCTTAGACAAAAATTGGTGTGTGCATTAGATAATAGTGAAAGCGGGAAGTGAGTGAAATTTCTGTAGGTTTCACAGCTTTCCTAGCTCCTCAAAGATTTTCATATTGAAGATTTACAGCTATTTGCAACGAAAGACGTTATCTTGCTGGGTCCAAAATAGCCATGCTGAGCACGATATTGTGCAATTAGCATGTTTTAATAGCATACTGATCTTTTGAAGGTCATCTGCAAAACTTCGTGGAGAAAATAGAAAGCTCTTCTGTCAGATTGCGCTGCAACCCTCCACTCCCTCTTCCCTCCCTCCTTTCCCCTCGCCTCCCCCTCCCCTGCT